ATATTCTGAGCCAAGCCTCAAGAAGGCTCTTTTCAAGTGCTTACTGAATTACCAAATATGGCCACTGAGATTTTTTGTGCTAAAAATATAAAGAAAAGTAATGATCAGGGCCAAATCTCCAAGTCATAAATCAGTTGCAATAGTGTGTTCAGTGGACGGCGGAGGGGATAAGGTTTCTGTACAAGTGACTTCTGCTCGGCCATTGCAATTCCTATTTTAAGCTTGCTCTAGAAGTCTGAAAATTCAAAATTCTTTGGAACTTGGGAGAGCTGGCAGAAAGCACAGACTTACCTACGTCTGGACTGAAACGTGCCCAGCTCCCCAGACACGCACTGGCGACGGTTTGTCCTGATGTCTTGTGAGGCCCTATCTAAGGGACTTACTAGCTCATAAAGGGCCTTGTAAAACGTATTAAGAGCAGTAAGGGCATTAAGAAGCCACTGAAAAAATTCAGGCCAAGAAGATCTGATTTACGTTTTAGAAACATTTTTCTAACTATAAAGTGGAAAACTAAAGGCAGAGAAATCAGTTAGCATTCTGAGATAGCCGTCTAGGTGAGATGGTGGTGGTACGGATTAAGGCAGTGACCCTGGGAATGGAGAGAGCAGGAAGGCTAAAGACATATTTAGGAAGCAAAATAGACTAGGTTGTTAGTTACCTGTAGGCAGTGTAGGAGAGGATGGTGTCATTTGCCGAGATTGGAAATGCAGCAAGAAGAGGTTTTAGACATACAGGGTTGAAGGCACAAACCTTGGGCAAGCAATTGGACGTGCGGGCCTGCCGTCCTGCACTGCGCCCTGAACTGGAGATGCAGACGGGGCGTGGTGAGTGTGAGAGGTGACTGGAGCCATGGGAGGTGAGACGTTGTCCAAGGTGATGTGGAGAGCGACGAGAGAGTAGGCTGTTGGAAGGAATCCAAAGAACACCAAAAATTAAGGGTTTGACGGAAAAGTAAGAGTTACCAAATACCCCAAGTCCAGTAATAACCCTGAAGTCATAATTTGTACATTAGTTTATAGTCTCCTTGCCCAAGTCTATTACTAGAAGTGCCAGCAGGTATGAAAGTGTGATTTTCTTCTGTTCTTTCAGCTTGTAAAGCCATGAGTTGTCAATGAAAACACTTTAAGTAGCCTGTAGTCAATAAACATTTGCAAGATAATGTAAACTGTAATGTACAAGCCAAGCACACAGCCTTGGTGGCTCAGCCCAGGCGCGGACTGCGTGCAGCCTCCCAGCCCACCGCCCCACTGGCCCGGCCCTCCTTCCCTGAGGACCTGGCTCCCGGTGGCCCAGAGAGGCTTCTCGGCTGCAAGCATGCGGTTCCATCGAGAGATGCTGGTCAGAAGACAACCTGGTCAGGACTTCCACATGGAAAAGGTCCCAGGACAGGGTTGAGTAGGTCGATGGGGTCTTGCCTCCATAGCTTCCTTTTTTTCTGGAGGCGCAGCAGTGGGGATGTGGCCGGTAGAGTGGCTGATCGGTGGGGTGCTGATACAGGTCTAACAACTGGCGGGACAGGGGAAAGAGCCCTGATCTGTTGTGTTCACCAGCTGTTGCCGTGTAAATACTCCCGCCCCAGACAAGTTCAAGCTTGAGATCCCTGCAGGCGAAGCCCAGGAAAGCATGCACACAGGCCTGGTGGGCCCGGGTGCCCGCCGGACCCAGAACCAGCGGACTGGCGGCCAGCAATGGAGATGCCTTGTGCGTGGCAGCTGAAGACGCAAGAGGAAGGAACTGTACAAAACAATGAGTTTTTACTCAAGGAAAAGTGATTTATTCACCTCTTCTCACCCCTGCGCCCACCCACCCCTCTGACATTTACCCGATGCTCTGCTCCAGTGAGGTGAGTGGGAGAAGACCGCGAGCATGACGCAGTTCTTGGGCTCAAGGAGCCGGGCCGACAATGTGGGCACTGAAGTGTGAAGAAGAGCAGCCGCTGAGACCGGCCGGGTGCCCAAGGACACAGCCGCCGTGCTCATCAGGGGGTGCAAGGAAGCCCTCACCTGCAGATCACACGCAGCAGCTGGATCTTGGCAGGGAAGCAGGTGTGTGCTGAGGATGGAAGATCATCTTTTCCGTAAACTTATTTAACTAGTGAGTGTTTTCCTCTTCTCCTCATCTGACTGCATTTTCGAAAACAGGAGTGGTCCCAGCAGCAAGGTTAGTTTTCACTTTGCTGTAATCCTCCAGGTATCTCCTGCTACAGTTTCTCCTTCCTTAACCTCTATCATCCCCAAACTCAGCTGCTGGGTAATACTTTCTTACTCGGTTCCTCTTTCTTCCCTCAGTCTTCTCAGCTCTCTTCCAGCCGTGCTCCAGGTCTGTGCCCCCGCAGCATGCCCAGGTGGGTCACGGGTGCGCTCTACTCCTTCTCTTGCTCTTACCCCTCCCCCATCTCTCTGTTGGACTAAGAACTTCTCCAGGGTTATCACCAAGGCCACAGGTGCATCTTTGTTGCTTTCCCCCCTGTATTATCTTGTGGGAAAGGTTCTTAAAGTTTCGGTTCTCTCTTATACTATTGGTGGAAATGTAAATTGGTAAAATAGTTGATGAATGAGTTAGCAGTTTTTCACAAACCTGAAAATGCATGTATTTTCAGATCCAAGAATTCCACTTTCTAAAATCTATCTTAAAGAAGTGTTTACACATTTGCAGCCTGAAGATATTCATGAAAGCATAAATTTGCATTTCAGAAAATAATCTTGGAAAAACCTACATACCTATGAATAGGGCTCAGGTTAAATAAATTATGGTATGTATATATTATGTCACACTGTGTAGTCATTAGAAAGAATAAAGTGGATCTATGTGTTCAAATCTTGGCTCCCCTGTTAATAAGCCATATGACCATGGGCAAAATTACTCCTCTGTGTCTCAGTTTCTGTATTTGTAAAATGAGGAAAATCTTTATAAAATTTGTATTCATCTACAGTCAGTTTATTTGTAGGTCTTTCTTTGTATTGAGGGCCAGTGGTATGAGTGATGAATACACCAATCATCTGATAACATAACATTATAACTTTTATGTCTTTATTCATAAGCAATAGCAGTTTCTAAACATGGCTTTTATCTGAGATTAAAATAATTGAGAATCATTTTCAATCTTACTCCTTATATTATAAACTAAAGGAATTGCCAGTTTCTTTGTGTTTTAGGATATTGGTATAATTCACATTTTAATATATTTCATAAAGGAAAATATTTTATTTCCACCAAATAAGCAGTTTTTTCTCACCAAAGCAAGAAAAACTGATAGTATACTGCTCTAAACAATAATATATAAAGAGAAACAGCGAACATCTCATTTCTTTATGTAGTTTAATATGTACCCTGTGAGTGGTGTGCGGGTGCACAAGTACAAACGGTATGCTAAATAATCACTATGGAAACTTACTTTCAAAATATTTCTACTGGGCACTGGTGCAACCAGAGCTGATATTGAGCACACAGTTTTTTTTTGTTTGTTTTTTTTTAACATTCTAAAGGAAAATTAAAAATCCCATGGGCATTAAAATGAATGTACTTTTAAATATTTCATGCATATAGATATACAAGATCTTATGGATTCTATTAAAAACCTCACCTAATGTGCACAAAGACACCTTTTTAAATTCAAGTTGCACCTGTGCAAGGTTCATAAAGATTACTATAAAAATAGTGCAAACCCAATAAAATCACAATGATACAGTACAAAGTTTTTTTTAAGTAAAACTTTGAGAGGTCTGCATTTATACAAACATGTAATACTTTTTAGTGCTCTCTTACTGGCATTTTTGTTCAGAAATAGATGATTTTAGAAATTTAAGTTGATTATTTTAAATCAATTTTCTGCTTCAAAATGGAAGACACTGAGGACATACAGAGTAAATTTTTTTATAACAGGGTTGGGCAAAAACTTTACAAAGTACAGTAGCAAAAACTTTACGTGCTTTAGTTATTGCCCTTCGAAAGATAAAAAAGCCCCATTGTGCCACTTTCCTGATTTAATTTTAATTTCTAGATAATTATCTTAACTACACTTCTTTTGTTTATATAGAAAGTCTCTGAGACAAAATGTAAAGATTCTAAATTCTCTAACAAATCCAAAATATCAGTCAGTATATTTAAAGAAATGCTTATTTCCACATAAAACTCCACCGTGTTGAATTAAGACACAGTAATTGCGTGGCTGGCCAGTTATTGACTTAGCCTTTTTATCACTGGCTGTTAGGTTCCAGATTTAAGCATCTGGGTTTATGCTGCACTACTGTCCTCCCCCATACAGATATTAGGGGGAAAGCTCACTTTTTTCTGAAAAGAGTAGTAAAGTATTTCAGCTATAATACAAATCATTTGGGAGGGATTATGCCAAGATAAAAAAATAGAATCATTGCTACAAAAGAACTATAATCTGTAAATTTCTGAAAAACAAAAAAACAAAAACAGACACTGAAAATGTTTCAGTCAGCTATGGTCCTGGCTTCTGAGACTTTAACAATTCACAAAAAGTAAAAAGCACCAAAGTTTTCTAAAACTTCAAATGATATGCTGAAGTCATTCAAGTCCCACAAAAAGTTATATTTAACTTGGAAAGTTTCCCCAGCAAAAACAAATCTATTCCTTTCAATCTTTAAAAGATGTGCTAGCTCTCCTGCTTTTCATCAGAATCTTTACGTCGTGTGCAGTCATCATCACCCAGACCGTGGCTAGGCATCAGCAGGGACAACACAGATCTAAACTATTTCCCAAATAACATGGGATCATTTGGTGAGGGTGGGTGGGGAGCGTTTCTCCAATTAAAACTTATTTTTAGCTTCTTGTGTCATCCTTTTTCTTCTAAAGTGTTTCTGGGACTCTTTACAAGACATATACTATTGCCTGATTTGAATACCACACCCTGTTATTTTCCCTGCTCACTCTGTGGTGTTGTTAGTTAAGATTCGACCCAGGAATAGGGGTGTTTAAAAGTGGATGCACATCACATTAGCAAATTAAGAGTTTTGAATAAGCTGCAAAATGTATATTCAACCATGTTATAACCAAGAGTTGAGTTTAATTTTAAACAACATCCAGTTATAAGTTTAATTACAAAATAGCACACGATTTGAAACAAGGCAACCTTTTTGGCTTTCATGTAGTAAAATACGTAACTTCACCAATTACATACATGGCTGCCAAATGTTGAATACCAGCCCAATTGGCCATATTTTACTGCTGCATATAAACAATGACAAGGCAAAGAACAGCAACTAGTCCAAGGGCTTGGAGGCCAAGGAACCACAGCAGAACCCAGAAGAAAATGACTATCACTGGTTCCACAGCATGTTCTCCAAAGTACATCCTTGTGAAGCCCATGTTGAGGAGGCTCTTGTTCAGTTCCCCGAAGAGGGTTCCCATCTTCTTGTAGTCATCTGCAATGTGATCGCCAGCGTGGTTATGTGATTCTTCAACATCCTGAAACAGGAAGGAAGGATGGATGGAAAGAAGGGAGGGAGAAAGGAAGGAAGGAAAGAAGGAAGAAAGGAAGGAAGGAAGGAAGGAAGGAAGGAAGGAAGGAAGGAAGGAAAGAAAACATAAACATTAAATGAGAAATAAGGAAATGTCTTTAATGATAGTGTCTATCTCATAGTTCTTTATCTTTCAAAGACAATTCTTTATATTACATTATCTTTGTTAAAATAATTGGTTTAGTTTCTCTCTCCTTACTAGATCCTAATATTTTTACAAAAGAAAAACTATGTCATGCAGGTGACATAGTTGTAATTAGAATTTATTAAACCTAATTTCTTTTATGAGTCATGATTCAAATCAGCAATTATTTATTGATACCCACTTGCTCATAATAGGTGCAAGATTGAAAATTACTCATATTTATTTTAAAAGCTTTAGAAATAGGTTTTCACATAATGAAAAGTATTAAATACATTAAGTATGCAGTCCATGCCAAAGTTAAGTTAATTAGCTTAACAATACAAAAATCACCTGCCCAGAAGCACCCAGGAACAGGAGGAAGTTTTGAGGGGCTCTTCAAACATCTGACTTGAGCCTAGATTCCTTTCGTGGAAACCAACACAAACTCACCACTGTGTGGTCCTGTCAGTGACAAGACACGGTGGCAGGACCACGTCTCCTTCTGGAGGCTCCGCGGGGACCCATTTCCCCGGCCTTTCCTGCTGCCAGGGTCACCCACGCTCCTTGGCCCCTGGCCCCGTCCTCTCCGAGCCTTCCTCTGTAACTTTCCCCTCTGACCTCTGCTCTTAAGGACCGGTACGATTAGGTCTAACCCACCTGGATGATCCAGGATGATCTCCCCAACTGAAGACCCTTAAATTTCATCGCATCTGCGGCGTCCCCTTTGCCGTGCCAGGTGCCACATGCACAGGCTCTGAGGGTTAGGTGGTCATCTCTGTGGGGAGAGGACCATTGTCCTACCTCCAACAATATATTATATTAAAATTAATTCTTTATTTCCTGTCATTGGTTTTGACAGGAAGGTCAAGGTTGTTAAAGGCAAGAATCAAGTGTTACAAATTTGAACACTAGGCTTCAGTATATTGTGCTGTGCTGGGCCATCGTGGCCTCATAGTAAATATTTTTAAAATATAGTAGAAGTATTCTACAATAACAACATAAGGCAAAAACTAAACAAAACAAATTAAAAACCCACTTGACACATAAAAGAGTAACCAGTACAGAAATGCTAGTGTCTTTCCCACCCTAACAGTAATCACTTTGTGCCTTTGCCCAGTTTCATTGTTTGCATGTGGGGTCCCCGTGGAAAGATGTCTCTCAAATCCAGTTTCCTTTGTGATCACATGACACTACTGACTATGACATGCACTTTGAAAAACAGTCTCACCAAAATTGTGATTTTCTTTGGTCTATGATAAAAGACATACATAAAAATAAAGGAGTATTGTAAATGATTCAGAATCCTTTACAGGCATACAGAATTAATAATAAGAAATTAAAAGTGAACCCTTAAATAATCATAGGATTTTTAAGAGAGAAAGACCCTTGAAGGTAATTAAGTCAAAGTCTCTTACTTTAGAAACAAGGAATAAAAGGTTAAGTCACACTGTCTACTAAAAAAACACAAGCTTTTGCTCTGGCTGATATGGCTCAATGGATTGAGTGCTGGCCTGTGAACCAAAGGGTTGCCAGTTCGGTTCCTAGTCAGGGCACATGCGAAGGTTATGGGCCAGGTCCCTAACAGGGGGCAACCACACACTGGTGTTTCTCTTCCTCTCTTCTCTCTCCCTTCCCCTCTCTAAAAATGAATAAATAAAATCTTTTTAAAAACCCATAAGGTTTGGAAGTAAACGGGGCGTATTCTGATCGGACTCCATCAGGTATGCAGAGAATACAACTCACCACTGCCCCTCAGTGGTCCCGTGAGGGCCACAGTAATACCTGCCTCGTGGAGTTAGGATGATATAATGAGGAAACAGATGAAAACGCTCTAGAACATATACAGCAATCACTTAAAGTATGGTAGCTATTATTTTACTATATTCGTGGTATGATTTATGTCTTGTGATTTTTATTGTATCATGCTGTCTGCATTAATCAATGCCTTAGTAATCATGTCTCATGATAATTAAATTCAGTTGTATTTTTCTTCAAGTACTATGACAACTTACTATGTAGAAGTGGAGGTGGGATGTTTTCTCACCTGCGGAGAAACCTGTGCACATCAGTATGGCTGTGCCTGTTTATCCACTGTAAGAAGAGAACAAGCTACGCTGCCCCACACACAGCCTTCTGCTGAGTGGGTCACAGTTTAAGGTTCACTTTCACCCATTTTCCCGGGTGCAGCATGACCTTTTTGTTGTATCTTGCATGCAGCGTGGAGATATACTGGTTTTGCTTGTCAGATATTTATTCCACCTTCTTCTGCTAGCTGCATCTTGATCTAATTTTGGGAAAACTGGCCCCTACCCATGCTTACTCCATGTGTTTTGGTGGAAGATGTCCCCTTTGCCCAGCTCCAGGCCTGGACAATGAGAACATTGCATCTCCTTGGACTTATGTTTAATTAAGGAGTGAGCTGTAATTCGAGAAACACCAATGAGAGCTCTACCTAAGACTTTTGCTGCAACTGTTGGAGAGGAAATGCGTTTTTCCCTACTGGTCTGCTGGGCAGATGGGGGAGAGCTTGCTGTGAATGAAGCCAATGTAAACTAAAGCCCAGAAAAAACATGTTGCTGTAGTTTGAATATTTGAATTCAGCAAGTGTAGCTGCCTCAGGTCTTTTTAATGACCTGAGCCAATAAATTCCTATTTTGCAAAGTCTAGTAGGAATTGAGTTTCTGTCACTTGGAACCCAGAGTTCTGACTATAGAGGATGATGATGATAAAAACAATAGCTATTATTAATGAAATCACAACTATATGGCAGACATTGGGTTAAGCACTTTCCATTCATCATGCTTTTTGATCTTCACTCATTACAATAAGTATTATAGTTAATTTCAAAGCCTGTGCTCCTAACTGTGGCACTCAAGTACTTCCTCATTCAGTTGGTTTTATTGTTACTAGCATAATTAATGTGAAGACTGTATTAATAAAATTTTAAAAATCACAGTTGATAGGGGTCCTCTGAGTGAAAATTTTTAGCTATAACTTTATAAAGGTTTTTAAAAACTACATAAGAATAAGAATGCTTAAATATTCACACAACACAAAAGAATAAGGAGTAAAACTAAGGTGCCAATTTCTCCTTGCACCTTTGGTTGGTCTTCTTTAGCTGTCATGTAGAGCCACCCTCAAAAACGGCAGCCCGTGGACATCAGAACTAGGAAGGTCATTATGTTGGGTGTGCATCTTGAGATGCACACCAACCAAATGGGAATAAGTTTTAGATAACACACAGTAGTCTATGAATTGAGGTTTATTGAATGAATGAATGAATGAATGAATCCTAAACTTCCTAAAATGATGAGACCTAAATCTTCCTCCTACTCTTCTCTTTCTCTATCCCTCTCCTGCAGCTAATTTCCTAACCTGCTACTTCCCAGAGATAAGAGAAGTAGTCAGAAAAGAGCTTCCTTAACTTTACAACACAAAATAAGTCAACTACCTGTTCGGGCCCATCTCCCTGCATTCTTTTGTTACAAATAAGGAAATAAGGAAGTAGTCCTCCTTTGTCTAATTCCTCTTCCCTGAGCTTGGGCTCACATCCTGCTCTACCTTACACGACCCCTTTCCCACTTTCCCTGTGTCTCATGCATATTTAATCTTTCCCTCTCAATTGGCTCCTTGTCATCAATACTTATAAATGCTTACATCCTTCCCTAATAAAACACTCTATGCCACACCCCCCACCAGCTCTGAGCCTGTCCCTTCCCTTCATAACCAAACTGTTGGAAACAATTCCATTTCTTCATCTTTGTCAAGGACTGTGAAGAGACTGGCATTGTGTCCCACTTTCAAGGTAGCAAGGTGGCTGGTCACAGCTTCATGGATGCTGCAGGACACCCAGATGCCTGGGTCAGAGGGAAGGGACTGCATCGCAAACATTTGTTAATGTAAAAAGCCCTAACAGCTGCTGAATGTCTATGATGTGCTGGGCAGTGTTTTAAGTACCTTGATCTGCAGAACATAGAACATGCAGGACACTGAGGAAGAGAGAGTGTAATTTAGTCAAGCCCCGCCCCCCCCCAGCCAGTGAAAGATACACAGGTCCAGGTGCCTATAGCCCATGCTCCAAAGCTCTGTAGGCATGCTTTCCTCACAACATCAAAGCCATCCCATAGCCATTCACATACTATTTGCTTTACTGTATCAGTTGTTAGGAGCAGTTCAAATAGTTATACTTGTCTTACATTGATATTCAGCAAAAATCATTTATAAATAGTTTTGTGGTGTTTACCTTTGTCTAACTGTACAGTATGACTCTGTGAAAGTGAAAATTCTATTTGCTTATGCTATTTCAATCTTTCCCATAGAAAAATTACATTCTGAATATTTACATTTGAAAATTACTAATGTAATTTTCAATTATTCAGAATTACATTTGAATAATTAAAGAGTAACACAGATGATATGTCTAATAGAACTATGCAGTATATGAATCATCCTTGCTACAGTGTAGTTGCCTTTGAATTAACTTTTTATGATTAATTTCTAACTAGAATCTATATAATGGGATTTGGTCTCAGTTCAAAGTCAACAGTACTCATTTCTCGAAAAGCCGTCAAAATACTACTCACATGACAATGTTTGGCGGTTGTGTACTCACTGTGTTCTACACTCCAACAGTTTCTTGTTTTTTGTATTGCAACTTTTGTCAAATCCAGTAAGCTGGCTATTTTTTTCTTTGCATTTCTGAAATAACCACTGTAGTGGAATTCTTATTCAATGATACGTCTAATAAGTTATCTATCAACCATCTTGACTAAATGAGGGAAAAAAGTTCAATGGGCTTTTATTATTCATGACACTGAGGAGGC